TTTAGCCTGGTTAATTGATGTAGAAATCATAGAGGCACGGCAACATCTGTAGGAGTTTGAATTTAATTATCTTATTACATTTCAGGTTTTAATAAATAGCTCAGCATAATAAACCACATAGACTGAGGTAGTGTGTGTTTTCCTTTTACATACAGAACTATGCTTAATATTCAGCGATATCATAAAAAAGGTTACGCACACAATAAAAAGCCCACAACAATGGTTTCTCATTCATTTGCCCAAAAGGAAATATTAAAAGCTCAAACATCTCTGTCAGTGAGGTTATTACTAAATGCATTACTTCTAGAATTATCCTCTCTGAACGTGTAAATGATTTTTTTTTTTTTTAAGTGATATTTGTTAAAGATCCTCTTGCGATCTGTACATTGTTAAGGATTTTTATGTTTTAATACTGCAAAATGTAATGTGTGGATTCAGGACCTAACTATGAAAGGACCAATACATTTTTTAACTGATAGAAAGGTCTCCCTGTTTGTTTGCTTTGGATCCCTGTCATATGGCGTGACCCAAGTATGCTTAAGCTCGAGGTCAATACCTGATGATCATGAGCAGCAATCGTTCCATTAGTTCAGGCATGTCACACTACCACCACCTCCATGTTTTCGCTTTGGTCATGATTTTTTTTTTTCTCCGAATTTTTTTCCCCTCTCTTTCTTTTTGAGCCACATAGATGATTATTTGTAATAATAATTGAATTAGAAAACTTTATTGATCTCACATTGGAAAAAAATTACCTCTCCATTTAAAACCACCCCTTGGGTAACAGTGGGCTGCCATTGTGGGGCGCGGCGTAGGGTTAAGGGTCTTTTGCTCAGGGACCCAGAGTGGCAGTCTGTAGAAGTGGGGCTGGACCTCAGAACCTCAGGATTCCAAGCTCTGTGCCCTAACCTCTTCGCCTGACTCCACCAGATGGATTTGCTCCCCATATCCATCTGGAAACCTTCCGTTTAAGTAATTTTGGGAAGGGGCGAAAATACTGGTTAGCTGATTGGCCTATGTTGGTGATAGACGGGCCAAATAAACCAATCAGATCAACGATGCATATGATGTAACAGAGCGACGACGAAGAGCAGCCAATTGATAGATCAAACTCTTGCCGAAACCAGTCGGGAGAAGAGCAAAAACATCTTTTCCTCTGAGAAAAGCCTCCAGAGCAGTGTTTTGCTCTTCTTTCAGTGAAGAAATACTCTGTAATTCCGATAAAACTTGCTGGATAGCCACGCTAACGCTAGTTTCATCGGCTGAAGCCGCCATGTTCTTTAGACTGAACTGTCGCGCTTCTCGTTGCGTCACACCTCAACCCGCCTCAGAACCAACGCTGATTGGACGTTTGATTGGTGAACGGCTCCAAATTTTCTTTAACGGAGAGTCTCCAGACTGATTAGCGAGTGAAATCTTGAAAGATCGCGAGATCAGGATGGTCTCACGAGGCTACTATCCTCTTGGCTGCCACTCCCTTCCACGAGGCAACCTTTCTGTTCTTTTTTCGTCAACAGTTTTCCTTCTAAAACTCTTCCACAGGGGGACATTTTTGCCCAGACTCTCTTTTTGTCAAATTCTAAACTCTGATCTGAAGTGTGGCAAATGGGGCCTGTTCTGTAACCTCTGTGAGGCCTTTTTGGGATCATTATCCTAATGGAACACCTCCATGTGACTCCAAATGCCAAACATCTGACCCAAACTCTCACCTTTAGATGAAAGGTAATAGGTCAGAACCTCTGAGGAGAGGAAAACAAAAAGCGCAAGGCTCAAATCCTGATGGAAAAGTTTGCTGAAACATAATTGCTGTGTTTTACTTTAGTTCTAAATAGTGCAATAGTGTATATTTCAGCATCATGTTAAATTTTATTCATATGTCAAATATATAGAAAAATATAAAGTTGAGCAGCTAATTTCTGGTTTAAAAATCACTAGAAATTGTTTGTGACATGGTCATTATACCATAAAAAAGATAGTTTAGATCCATCACTGTATATGAGCATAATTATCATCACATTAATGCTCAGTACATATTTCTGTAAAGATTACTCTTTGCATGGCACAGAGTGAGGGAGCCATAAATACAATAGCACAATGTTTATCAGGAAATCGAAATGTAAATAAAAAAACAGTCTGACTGATGTTTTAGAAGTAGGAACAGCTGCATTTGCACGGATTGGTTCACTTTTCAGTTACTGCTCTTGTTCCTCCTGAACTTAGAATTTTCTTCCTAAGATTTGGAGATAAAAAAAAAAAAAGATGCTAAAATTTAGAGTTTATTAAGAATTTGCAACAAAAAAAAAGTCCTTACCCCTAAATTAGCCTAAACCATTTCAATAGTATGAATACTTTGTAAGGTATTTTTTCTAGTTAGTTAACTTCCTAGTGAATATATAGTATGGTTTATCTATTTATGTCGTATGTTTGGGATTATGCTACATGGATGTTGAAATAAAACATAAAAATATTTGTTATTTTTTTAGCTCTGCATTAAATACTCTAACTATGCAACACTTTGCAAATGTAAGGATTTTAGCTCATATGTAACCATTACTCTGCTGTGTGTTACAAAAATAGATGTGGTATTTGAACAGTTTTTTATTTGCAAATAATAATATTTTTGTGTTTAATTTGACAGACCTACGGATATTAGTGGCTTTCAAAGATCTGCAAAGTGGGACATTTGTTTTCAGCCTTCCTGGGGACATCTTTTCTAAACCTCTATGCCGGTTCTCTTCCACCATCGTATTCAGCTCCGTCCATCAGCTGTGACCAGTTTGATGTGAAGATGCAGCCCATTCCACAGCATGATGCTGCCAGTGCCATCTGTCACTATGGTGCATTCATAATGATGTGCAGGATTAGTTTTCCAACTCAAGTTGTTATTCTGCCTGCAGTTTGAAAGAAAAAAGATTTAAAAAATATCTATTTTGGTCTCTTATGACCAGAGCGTCTTCTTCATTTTCCACATGGCTTGTGCTAAATGCATATACAACTCATTATCTCAACAATGGCTTTCTTGTTGCCAAGAAACTCTACCAGGATCAGCTTGGAAGAGATTAAGACTCATCAAAGCTAAAGGAATACTGGTGTATAACCCAAGCCTGCTTTAAAATTGAGCTATTTAGGTCCTTATGATGTTTTTGTTTGATAATAGTACATTTAAGTGATCCCTACATTGACGCTGGGAATGAATTAAATATTAATGGAGGTAATTGGCTAAACAGTTGACTTTCAAGGCAATTTTTTTTTGCATCAGACTGTATTTAGGAGTGTTATATTAGATTATATTAGTGAAAATAAATAAATACATTTTTTAAAACCATGTATTGAGTTTCCTGTCAAACCCAAATTCAAAGTAATTGGTTTGGATGAAATTCCGAAAATTTCAAGGTTGAGGATGTAGTGAAATAAAATATGACAAAGAGATACCTTTTATGCGTTGATTGGCTGTTTTTATTACATTTTAGAATAAGAATAGAGGACAGCTTTATTCTGTTAAATCTCCTGTTTAAAAGCGACGCTCATATGAAGGGTAAGATTTGTCTTTTGAACCTAATAGATAAATAATGGGGAAAAAAAACAATGTAAAAACTTTTATTATTCAAGATTTTAAAACCGCATATTTAAAATATGATAAAAGGAGGACTTTCATGAAGATTTTAAATGTTTAAGAATTACGTGGAGTAAGGCTTTCAAGTGCTTAAAGATTCAAAGAGATGGAGTGATGCTTTTCTCTGAAATAATCTTGTCTCCTTTTAGAACATATTTTAACTAAACAAACAATTCATTCATGTCACAAAAACTCCAACTTTAATCATTAGAATAAAGGTAACTGAACCCAAGTTTGTGTTATGGGTGAAAACCGACACAGTAGGAATGACAAAAGACAAGTTAGACATTTAATATGATACAAATGCATTGAGCTTATTTTGAAAACCAAACACAAGACAAAAAACATAACAAAAAAAAAGATTTATTTATTTAATACAAGAAACTGAGAATGAGAGGTTTTAGTTTGCAGTAAGTCTCAAGCTATTTACTCTGCGGATGTGACAAAACAACAAAGAATGACTATTAAACAAAGAGAATCCAGCTTTTCCTCTGTGTTTCCTCTTAAAGCCTTAGCTGAGATATGCTGCTATGTGAAAGATGCACACAATTACTTCAGAGGCGGGGTGCTTTATTTACATATGCAATATGCATAAGCAAGGTTACTGTGAGGGTGAAATAACTGAGAGACAGAAGGAGAGAAAGGAGGAGGGGTTTGGGATGTGTGAGCGTGTGGATGTGTTGGCTAGTGTGGCTGTGATGGAGAAATGTGCGTGGGGTAAGAAGGAGGCAGAAAATTGGTGTTATCAATATTTAACCAACCCTTCCAGCATATTTATGGCAGACAATAGAGCAGACATGCAACTGTCTCATGTGAGTGGAAGTGGATTCATTACGCACTGAAACAGAGCCTGTAAGCAGGATGTTCATTGATATATCACGGCTGCAAAGGATTTAATGATGAGTGTATTACCTGCCGCAAAACCTCCAAAAGTTGATTGGTACGCCCGTATATTTAATAAGGCTGCAGTCATTGAGCCCACTGCCGCAATTCATTAGTAAGAGTTCCACATGTGGTGAGCAGCTGTATGTTGTTCAATCACATTTTTTTTCTTTTTTGGGGGGGGAGTGTAAAAAGCAAAGAAAAGAGGGAGAAAAAATAAAATTTCCCAGACCCATGGCCTCTCAGAAAATGTTTCCATGTGTTGTGTCTGAGAGCGCAGAGAGCAAAGAGGGAAAATATTCTCTCCTCCAAACCACATGCAACAGATTCCTTCTGAAGCCAAATAAATCAACCCTCCGCTTCAGATCATGTGACACTTTTTGTGCTTTGTGTTATTCCCAACATATCCTGTTTCAACCCCCCCACCCCCCTCCAGAACCCTGAACATTCAGAGTTTCCACATCCTGTGTAAGATCACCTGTACAGACAGAGTAGCGTGCTTCAATGCGACATGCTCAGGCAGGAAAACAGGAAAGAGAGTTCAAGGTTGCCCAACGTGAAATACTCAAAGCGCTCACAGAGTTAGGGGTAACCCAGAGCACATGGCCTCGCTCCAGTTTCCGAGGACAGTAAGTAAAGTCTCACTGGTGCCGTTTTTTTTTTTCTTTTGCTTTAGCACTGCCATCATGTGCTCTAATTTTGCCTGTGCAAAAACAGGTTGTGGGTGAGCTCTTCCTCTGGAAAAATCAATATCTAGATAAGTATATTTTCCTTAAAATAAGTGCATTTGTTCTTGAATTTAGGAGGTAAGTGAGACACTTTGCCAATGGAACAAGACAATTTACATTTAGAATATGAAAAAACAATTGTGTTGTCCTATTACAAGTGCGTATTATCTAATTATCTTATTTTAAGAGTAAAAATACTTATTCCATTGGCAAATAATCTTATTTACATACTCAAATTAAAGCTAAATACACCTAATTTAAGACATTTTTACTTATTACTAGATTATTATTGCAGTGTGCTTCAGTTAAACTTAATAGGATCGTTTAGCATTGGTGTTCTTACATTTTAGTTTGTGCTATTTAATAAAAAGTAAACAAAAAACAGCAAAACCAGATGTTAACATTTTTTCAGTTTTTTTTTATTATCAGTAGGCTGCCATTGTGCGGCGCCTGGGGAGCAGACTGGGGTTTAAGGGTCTTGCAGAACTCAGATCCTCCGAGACCCAAGCACAATGCTCTAACCACTTGGCCAGGAAAAAGCTCTAACCACTTGGCCAAAACTCTCTTATACATGAGCACATAACTTTTGTTCTCACAATCTGGTATCAAATGTTACTAAACCTTTCCAGTTAATTAAACTTTAGAGTTGTTTCTTTAACTTCAGAACTTGTCATACAATGAGATTGCTCTGCTTTTATTCAGGTTATTAGATCAGGATCCCATGGCTTTGTTACTTTGTCACTGGTTATTCACCAAGTTTAAGAAGTCATAAGGTGAAAAAGTTATTTACCATGGTGAATAAATCATCTATCTTTGGATCCCCTTTCATACTATGTTGTCTTCCTTGTGAGGGTGTCTAGGAAAATTAGACTGTATATTGTATTAGCTCATGTGAATGTAGCGTTAGTAACATTAGCAGATCCCTATTGTTCTTCTACCACCGTTTTCTGATCTTTCACACAATAGGTAAAATTTACACAAGCAGCAACACTCACTGATGTCCTACATAGCCCGACTTCAAACCCAAGTTCTGGTTTGAACACAAAGCCCGGATGGAGAAAAAAAAAGACAACTTGATTGTCCAGCAGTTTATAACTAAGACCAAACACCAACAGGCATCTTTTAACATTAACAAGTTCAATTTCCCAATGATGACACCGTCAAGTCAATTGGAGCCAAAATGTAGATTCATGCTAAGGCAACACCTCAAACATTCACCATCATTGTGTAGCATCATGTGATTTCAAATTAATTCCAAAAAAGTAAAAAAAAAAAAAAAAAATCCACTGGACTTTGTTTCCAAGTTTGAAGACATTTCGCTTCCCATCCAGGAAGCTTTTTCAATTCAAAATGTCAGAAATAGCATTGAGTTCAAGGCTTTATAGAGTGGACCAAAGCAAAGCCTAGTTTGAGCTTAGAAAACATGCAAATTGAACCTAACGAGCCGGTCCGCCCCTTTGGAATGGGGGTCGTTTGGTTCCTTTGTTAGCATGTGATACCCAAAACCTGTCTATAAGCCCCATTTACACTACCCTTGAAAAACCGATCCAGGCCGAGACCGGTCCGAGCTTGGATCGGTAACCAGGCCAAGCTCAGTTTTGACGACCGTTCACACGTCACACTTATCTCGGTTATCTCGACGCCTCGACTCCTCGCCTCCTAGTGACGATGTGCGGTATTACTGCTAGGATTGAAGGAGGGACTCAAGCAGCTGGTGGCGGTAATGCACCAAACGCTGTTTGTCAACCGCCGTAAAACCCAAGAAGAAGAAGACGAAGGAGGAGGGAATCAAGCAAATCAAAATGGCGGCGCCCGTCACATTCAGAAAGTTATGCTTGATTATTATTGCTGTACTTCCGTGTTTGCGGTGGGTCAGGCGAAGACGGCAACCTTGCGCGGATGTACTTGAGAAAGTCGGCTTTTGGGAAGCCGACTTTCTGGAATGGAGTGTGAATCGGCATGTTCAGCCAGTCGGCGATGACGCGTTCTGCTCATGCGCTCTTGTTATCAGAGAACCGAGCCAGGAAAAAACCGAGCCGAACCCACCTCGGGAACTGGTCTGCAGTTAGCGCGGTCCGGTTATGTTTATCTCGGTTCAGTTCAGGTTGTTTCCGTTCACACACGACAAGTTATCTCAGTTACTGAGCTCGGACCGGTCTCGGCTCAGTTTTTTAAGGGTAGTGTAAACGGGGTATATGTCTATGAAAGGGGGTTGTTAGAGGGAATCGTTGGCCTGGCTCTGGTCCCCTGTAAGGGGGTGGGGGTTGCGATGATAGTGAGAAGAAATCAACTCTATTGCATTGTAGGTTTTTGAAAGCTAAAATGTGAGTCCACCCGCTCTGTTTAAGGTTGGTTTTTCTTTCTTAGTATAGATGGCTTCCTTCACGCCCCTCTCAAACCACCTATCATCTGTCCAAAATGTGAACATTCTGGTCCTGAAAAGAATGTCCTTTGACCATAAGGTGTAGATGTACCGCCGAGTCTTGTCCCGAGGAGGTCGCTCTTCTGTGTTGGGCCATGCGTTTGTGCAGAGGTTGTTTGGTTTCTTCAATATACAGATCAGAGCATTCCTCACTGCACTGAACTGCATACACCACTCAGCTCATATTTGGTCTGGGGGTATTGTATTTAGTATGCACTAGTCTCTTTTTAAGGGTCTTGTTTTGGTCCACTCTATAAAGCCTCAAACTCAAAGCTATATCTGACATTTTGCATTGATCCTGGATGGGAAGTAAAACATCTTCAAACTTGGAAAGAAAGTCTAGTGGATTGTTTTTTTTAACTTATTTGGAATTAATATGACCTGGAGGACCGAGAATCTTCACCAGAATATTTCAAATTAATTGGCGAAAATTTTGGACGTCCAGAAGTCACGTGCATACTTGACAATAGTTTATCAAGGTGAATGTCGAGCCATCGTACTGTTCAGGAGGACATATTCGTAGTCCCTGTCACTGACATGATGAGTTTTAGTGTAAAATGTTTGCATCGTCCAGAGAACAAAAGCTGAGTGAGAAAGTATGTGAAACAAGCACTGTACCGACATGAGCTGAAAGACCACTCAAAACGTTTCTAGTAAGTCATACAGTTTACAGGAAATCCTATGACTTCTACTTAGTATTGAGATTATGTCTCCAAATGTCTATAACAAAGAAATTAATGAAAAGAAAATCTCTAAAAAATGTCTTTAATTAATCTGTCATGTGTTTATGAAAACATTTCCGTTATATAACTGAGCTAAAATGGGAACTGTATCATTTTAATATGACAACAAGGAAAAAGACTTTTTTTGTACAAAGATTTGGTTTCAGATTTACTTCTCCTGTATGTTTAACTTGTACAAGGTTTTTATAGATTTAAAGTTTGTTTAAAATGTATTTAATTAGCAAAAAGGTTGCTTCTTTTAGCTTCCTAAATAGGAACAGTTTTATCACAATCGTTTTTTCCCCCCATCAAACCAGTTTCAGGGCTAACAAACAACCAATCATATGTCAACAATTAAATAAATGACATTGAGCCACATTTAATAACAGTATTTCTGGAATGAGGTTTTGTTGAAAAAAGAGATAAGCTGTTGAAAAACAGCCCAAAAACTAGTGATCTATTGTCTATTGTCTGTTCTTACAACCAGAATCTGTTGGTAATAAACAACAAATTGCGCCTATTTATAAATAAGGCTCAGTTCAATAAACCTGTGAAGCTATTTATAAAGCATTTTATAAATTAAAAAAATTTTTTTTAGATCCACCATCACTGCATTTGCGTCTTAACATGGTACTAACTAGTTAAATTATTCAGTTACATCCACCTGAGTAATCTATTACTTCTAGGAGTAATTTCAATGCACAATATTTTAACTTTATATTGTTATCATGAAGGGCCGCTAATTTTACTCCAGTAAAATCTTTGGCTACTCTACCAAGTATGAGTAGCTTCACTGAAAAAAAAAGATAAACAAAAAGCAAGTACATTTTAAGCTAAAATGCACCAGGCACAGACCAAAGGTTTGAGTTTCACTAAAATTACTGTTTTCTTTTGTACACAATCCCTGCTGCTTTAATATTACTTTTATCTGCTGAGACATTCCTTCATGCATACTTTATCTATCTTAAGTAATGGTTTCATATTTTATATTTTTTTAAATAGATTTTGGAGAGTTTTTCTTTTTCTAAATTCTTTTTTTCCCTGGTATTTGTTTCCATTACTATTATGTAGTCTTTAAGACAAGAATTTGCTAATAACTGTATGTTATGGTCTTTCTCGTGTCATTTTAAATGGCAAAACAATTACTCCTGTTTACTTGGTAAACAGGCTACTACTTGAGTAGCCTGTTTACCAAGTCCTTTTTTTATTCTTTCTTGATTCATTTATTGGACAGCTGCCTTTTGCTTTCACTCAAGTAGAATCATGTTGAAGTACAGTGCTACTTTTACTTGAATACATTTCTTTGGTACTACACCCACTTCCGCATCTCACCATATTTTAAGTTAATGTTGCTTGCAGCTTTACACACTTAAATACATCTTCTTTTCGAACATATTTTTTATCATACATCTTTGCATTTTTTAGGATACATTACAGAGTTTTCTAAATATACTGCCACCTGTGGCTGAAGCACAGGACTGCAGAACTCTTCTGGCCGTTCTTGCGCTCTTACTTGACAATTTTTTAATTACTTTTTCCTCCTTATGTGGAGTTGTCATTGGTGTCTGAGTTGAGCTGGATGCCAGTCGCCTCTGAGTATCCCCAAAAAACTGAATATATAAGGCTTCCATTGTTTGCTGGGTTGGACATATTCAACATGGACGTGCTTGATGTCACATCCGCGGGAACTCCCGACACTAAGTACATTCAGGAAAATTAGGCTTAAGGCTTATAGCTGCACATGCGCTGAACAACTG